CACAAGAATGTTGTGACACCACAGACAAAGTGGATGGTGTCAGAAAAATTGTGGCTACAAAACAGAAATTTGAACCAGCCAATGGTAAGAAATATTCAAAACAGCCTGGCTTTATATGCAAAACTGGTACTGAGAAATTGTTTAAAAAAATAATACATAATAGAGTGAAGGAAGTCTAACTCAGTGACTCTTGTCTACAGGAAAAAAAAAATATGGGAATGGAAAATTGAGGCACAAAGTATCATCATCATAGAGTATTGGGCATGCTTTTCTTATATGTCACCCAGAGTCACATTTGTGAGGTGGATGGCTAGATATTAAGCACAATTATGGGAGAAATAAGAGACTAAGAAATTAATCAATGTTTAAATAAATCAGAACGGAGATTTTGTGAGGATGCACCAGTGTGTAATTGTTCATTTTAATGGCCATTCAGTAAATTGGATTAAACAGGCAAAAGCTTAGTTCTCTTTTTTAAGCTCTGACTTAAAAATATGTAAAATGCTCTTTTTGGTTAATTGTTATACCTTCATAATGATCAATATCCAGGGATTTCCAGTTTATTAAGTTAGTGGAATTATTGATTATTCAGTAGGATCTATCTTGGTTATGCCCGGCTAAGCTACTGTTAAATGTAGCTGAGAGGTAGGGAAAAGCATTACCTTACCATTATATTCTCAGCATTAGGATTCTGGATGAGAACATCACTGTAGGCAATTGTTATCAGAGGTGGATAGATGGCTCCCCTTTGAGTGTTCCGCACTAGACGAATGCTGCAAAAAGGAATGCAATGGAGAGTTAGCTAGAAAACCGCAATTGGCACCATTAGAAGTAAGGTAACGAGTCTGCAATGTGTAATCTCTTTACATGCAGTTCTGTTTTGTTTAAACTTTCTTTTTCACTATATGTAATGTGCCTAGCATCTTTTTTTTTAAAAAAACAATCTCATTATTCTTTTTAACTCCCAGAACTTTTGTTACAGAACTATGCTTAAATATGGTTATTCACTATAATAAAAGGTAGTATTATTACTACTGTTAATGGAAGATAGGCAAAGGCAGAAACTTGGAAGAAAAGGTGACATGGGGTATAGATCACAGAAGAGGACAGAAGAAAGGGATATGGTGCATTGGTCTTGTGCTACTAATTTGGTAAAATCTCTCTAGATTTTGTCTTGGATGAAATTCAGAAGAACTGAAATATTCTGTTTCTGGGTTAGTAAAACTGCAATCTACTTGGCTAAATTTCCTGGCCACGGTGTGTTTGTTTGGGGTTAAAACAAACATATTTCCTGTTTGTATACATCCTTCTACAAAGTACAGATTATAAAATTAAGACAATACACTGGTCCCATGTCTCATCAACAGCACTTACTTTTATCAATAACTGGTGGCTATACTGGAGCAAGTCAAATATGAAATTAGCCTTTGCTTTGCAGTCCAAGTATGAATCATATCATTTTTAAAGCTACTTCCCATTTCACTGTTTATGGTAGCAAGTTCCTTCTTCAAGAGTAAAATTTACTGCAATAACTTCCTGAAATTTTCATTAAGGCTCACACTGTACATATAGGCAAAATATTTGTTTGAACTAAGGATGTAATCGTCAGCATGTGATGGACCATTTTTAGCCTATGATCATACTTTATGTAAAAAGAGCAGGATAAATTCCAGGGAATTCAACAGAGCTCTCATTTGAGCAGATATGTGGGAGTTTTGATGGTTGGTGGGCATTGGGTTACCTTATTTTTGTGCAGATTTTTTTCTCACAGCAAACTAGTATGCTGGATTAAAGAAAATTCAAATTTGAATTTGGGAATTTACAGCAACCTTTTCAAACTTTATATAACCTTACCTTATTGCTATTTTACTAGCAATTCGGATTACTTTTGGCTGGCTTTCTAAGTCATTTTCTCGTCCACTTAAGGTATCCACCAATAATATACGCCGTGTCAAAAACCAGCTATTCACATTGCTGCCTTTGAAAAAAAATGCAAAATTACGATTTTAGACAAAAAATTACTGAAAGAGAAGGAAAAATAAGGAAACTTGCATTATTTATCACTAATATAGAACAATGAAAACAATGACATAAATCATATTGAATAACTTTTAGTTGTTCCATATTATTAAATATATTTTAATATATTTACTGTTAAAACTAAAATAACAGCTGAAGTTACTTCAGGAGCACATGTATACTGCTTTTCCTTCTCCACTAGCATAGCTGCCCCAAGACTGAATATCTGATTCTGTTTTTAATTAAATGTTTTAATTAAATGTTAACTTTATGTCCAAACTCAAATAAACTGTGGCTGGTCTTATAGTTTACTGAAAACAACTCAATTTCAAACAATAATTTACAAACTGGGCTTATTTCAATAATATAGTTAAATTAATCAGGGCTTAAAAATAAAGCTTCAGTTAACTGAAAACCAAATGAACACTTCTATCCTATTGATAGAGCTACCTGAAAAGAGAATAGGTAGATTTAAGCCTTTTCCTGTTCACTTATTACCAAATTAGAGGGCTTGGTGCTCATTCAAATGAGACCATTGTGTATGAATGAGATTTAGAGTGCCAGTAGAGTTACTGATAAATAGTAGCAATAATTTTGAAGAATAAGAAAATGAAACTATGCATTTATTACATCTACTTTTTATCTATGGAATCACTGAGATACAACAACAGAATATTCTTACCTTGGTTTACAAATATTTCATTATACTTAAGATTCACATTTAACACTGGCACAGCCCAAAGGTATTGTTGTCCATCTTCTTCATCGTGATATTTGAGGAATATATCATAAAACACAGGTTCAGCATAATCCTTTAAAATCTTGGAAACTGAAATTGTACACTGTATCAAAAGAGCAAAGGAACGTATAATGTGTTTTTACTAACATCCAAGAAAATTCAAAAATGGAAAACGTTTTAAGGAAAAATCCTTCCCCTTAAAACATATACCTTATTATTTTGTAGCAAACTGAATGACAGAACAAAGAGATTATACAAAAGGCTTCAAAAGTCTATATACAATTACAAAGTGCTCAGACAGATTTTCCTGGGCATGTTAATTAGGACATGAGGGTAACAGCTTCCCTTTCACTATTTCCAGTGCTTGGCAATTTAGAAGCATTAAAAAAAGAATGTTATTATTTGTGTTAGGTAAGTTTTACACTGAGATGAGGATTAAAGTAAAAATTCAAAATAGATTTCACATGATTAAGACAAGTATTAAAAAATAATTTCAAAAATAGAAAAAAAATCATCTAAAAGGAAAAGCATTCAAGCAGCCACCGTCTTTTATTCTCCCCACTCTTTTTTCTCTAAGTACTACTTAAGTATTTTTATGCAATGCCTTATACTTCCACAATCATTGCCATTTCTGTTTAGATAATTTTAATTTAAAAAAATTAAAAGGACAACCCTCAAATTTAACACTGAATGAATTGTTGATGGTGTTTTTGTATGCACTTTCTAGTAGTACTGATTTTTCATGTCTTGCTGATCATAAAAAGCCAAAATATTTGGAGTTCAGGCATGGCTTAAAAACTAATAACAACAGTAAACAACAATAAAATTCTGAACTGCAAAATATGCAGTATAAATATGCACTTCTTAGTTAAAATTATGTGATCCCCAAATGTAAACTACCAGACTACTTTCAATTGTGTTCGTAGTGTGATAAAACAGAATGATCTTATTTCCGTCAGTCCATATGAGAGTATGGAATTTTACCCAAGAACAGCACAACAACTGGACATTATTTTATTCTCTAGCCTTAATTAATGTGTACTTTATGAATCTTTAAAAAAAAAACACCAACTATGCTTACCTTTTGTTGGTAGGTTGTTCCAAACTTATAAGCAGCATTCAGCCTAATTAATGTGTCTGGACAAAGCTGTTTTTTAAAAAGAAAATATATAGCATTCTTCATTATAATATTCTCAGATTTTTAAATACATTTTACATTCATTCCTTTTTTTAAAAAAAGGTAGAGGAGTTATGTTTACATGGAGACAAAATGCAGACCTTGCCACTACAGATATGAAGCACTACAGATAATCTTTGACTTATGACCATAATTGAGCCTGTGACAAGTCATGAAAGCCATCAAGGGGATCATCGTGGGACTGTCCCCGATTTTATGACCTTTTCCCGACAGCTGTGAAACAGACACAGGGTTGCAAAGCGAACTGATTACTTGCTATGGGGTATTTTTTTGCTGGAAACAGAATAAACAAGCAAACCTTAAATGTAGGCCAGTTGCCAAACTCTCAAATGCAGTTACATAATTTAATGTATGTGGCTGTCAGAACTGTGTATTTCGGTCATAAATACCTTTTGTGGGGTTAATTGTAAATTTGAATGGCCACTAAGCTTGTAAATTGAGCACTAATTGCACCAGGGATATCAAAACTATCTTCATTGTAAGATTACATTAACAGTTTGAAGGAATTTCTCTCCTCCTCTTCTTTTTACTCTCTGAAAAATTAGAAAAGGTCCCTTCTGAATTCCTTCCTATGACCTGCTCCTTCTGGGTTCTGAGTTATCTTTTATATGGTTACATTGGTTTTATTGTATTGCGAACAGTTTCTGGGGTCCATCCACAGTTTCGTTGTACTTGTATGACAATAAAGTTCTTCTAATTCTAATTCTAATTCTAATGATGGTTGTCCACTCTGCACTCTTCCTCTTGTCTCCCAAGGTCATTTCCACATATGATTACAGGTAATCCTCAACTTAAAACCATTTGTTTAATGACTGTTCAACGTTATGACAGTGCTGGAAAAAAATGACTTATGACTGGTTCTCATACCTCTTACCACCACAGCATTCTTGTAGTCATGTGATCAAAATTTGAGGCTTGGCAACGGGTATGTATTTAGGATGGTTTTAGCACCCTGGGTCACATGGCCATTTGCAGCCTTCTCAGGGGGCTTCTAATAAGCAAAATCATTGGGGAAAGCAACATTCACTTAACAATGTTTTTGGATTAATGACTACAGCAAAAAGGTCATGAAATCAGATGCAACTTACTTAATGACAACTGAGTGTCAGAGGTTCTGGTCCCATTTGTAGTCATAGGTTGAGAACTACCTGTACATTTTCCTACCAGTGATTTGAGAAAGTTACAGAAAGCTAGGTCTATGCTGATGGGACTCAAAATGCAAATGTGGATTCATAATTAGAAATGTATCAATGATGTCACTGTCTCCATGGAACTACTTCTATGACTAAAACAGACTCTTCCCCATCCTACTTCCTGGACACCCCTGTATCTTCTTTGGAAGACTCTTGAGCTCCTGCTAAGTATGCAGGAGTGGTGATGGGAGAAGGAAAGGAAATGGAAGTTCACTTACGTAATGTTACATCTCGTCCTGTTTAAATACATTTAAAGCCTTTTTTAACCATGACAAATGTGTTCTACTAGATTCAATAGACAGGTTTGATTAAATCTGATCCTATGTTCCTAACCCAAATTAATACAAGGTGATATGCTCTTTCCTTACCTGTAAAAGACCATCTTCTAAACGTTGCCATTTCAGAAAATTTCCTGTTGCATCGTATGAGGCTGCAATAAAATTTAATTTCACTTCCTGCAAAAAAGAGAGGCGCTTTCAAGATCTAGGCTCTTGCATCTTAGGCACATCTTTTTATGCAAGATCAAAAAGAAAATCAGAATGTTATTAACATTTCATGTTGTGATTTACAACTGTATTAGAAAAATTATCATAAGAATTAAGTACTAAATGTAAATCCCTACCATCCATTTACCATATGGAAACATAATCATGGAGAGGCAAAAGTTACTTCCTTATTCTTAAAATATGAAAAGGAATAATAGCCATAATTTTAATACAAAGAAGTGTTACAACGTACCAATGTAGACCCAAAGCTATAAGATAGAACTCTCTCAGCATAACAGATATGGGGATATATTAATTTTTAGACTTTAGTTAAATGCATGATTATTCATATTGTACATATTATAAATTAATGTCTGCCTATCATAAGTATGCTTGCAAACTCTCCCTCTTACCTAAAACGTTTCCAAGAAAAAAGGTCAAAACCCAACAATAAAGTTTATAAACATCTGTGAAGTAAATGAAATTAATTTATAGAACATTAAATCCTAATAAATAAGCTGTTTTGACCCAGCATAGGAGCTACAGTAATTTCCCATTTCCTTCAAATAATGAAAATCTGAAAAATAACAACATCTTGGTCATTTCAAACTATATGAAAAGCTCCAATATAACTGTAAAATGGATTTTTATGTTCTATTTTCAAGGTACATATTCAAAAGTAGTCTACACCAGTGGCCCCCAACCTTTGGGTACTAGGGACTGGTTCCGTGGAGATTTTTCTGCAGTCCAGAAGGGACATGGTTGCTTGTGTTACTTGGATCCCAAGGATAGGGTTTCACTTTTTTGTGAGGCTCAGTTTCTGGTATGCCACGGACCAGTGCTGGTACATGGACTGGAGGTTGGGGACCCCGGTCTACACTACAATAAATGACATATCCTCAAGAAATGAACTAATACATTAAAAATAGTCCCCTGGGTAAATTAATCACTATAAAATCTTATCAGGGACAAATATAGATTGAGAAAAAAAGAGTTTTTACTGCAGGGAACCTACCTCATCTTTTTCTTTAAAAGTGAAGCTAGTAGGAAGCTCCGTTCCATCAAGAACCTGGGATGCTAAGCCTGGTTGGTCACCATAGAAGAGCCATGGAAGAGACTGTCTCCTGCAAACAATTATTCAGTGTTTACTGCAACCTACATATGACAAAAGCATATAGCATACAATTCAAAGGAATGACTGACAAAGACAACATACCAAAATGATATTGAATGGACAGTACCAAGTCCAATCGTGTTTGCAAACACATATTGAAACAAACCACATGCATCAGGAGTGGCAGAGCTCAAACTATTCATGTTCATAACACACATATTTCCCAAGGCTTGGCAAGATGTAAGATTGGAATATAGCTGAAAGAAAATAAGCCAACGATTATGAACAGAATTATATAAAAGATTTAAAAAGAAAACAATGTTTTCCCTTGTGAATGAAAGAAAATAAATGGGTTGTTTTCTATCATTATGCTCCACACAGTTAGTCCTTGACTTACAATGCAGTCGAATTTCTGTCGCTAAGCAATGTGGTTGTAAAGCATGACTGCATTGTTTAGTTATGGCAATCCCTGTCATCCCAGTTGCCATCATTAACTGAATCCAATGGTTGTTAGGCAAGTTAGCAGGCAGGTAAGAGCTGCTGCAGGGTGGGGTAGGGCAGAAGGGGATGCGTGTGGGTGGAAGGGAGATGTGATGAGATTTGGAGAGGGTACACAAGAGAGGTGCCATAAGGTTTGGGGAGGGGGCAAGGCAGGCACAGAGGGAACACGGGATGTGTCAGTGGCCAGTGCAATGTGAGCTCAAAGGCTCTGAGGCAGGGTGCACGTGTGAAGGTGACTTATCTGAACAACTTGTGCCCATTCCTGCTGGCTTCCCCACTGACTTTCTGAGGAAGCTGGCATGGAAGGTTGCAAATGGCATTGTAACTGGTACTAAGTGTGAGCCTGTTGTCAAGGGCTCAGATTGTGATCACATGATTACAGGAATGCTGGGATGTGACATTACACTTTATGACTGTGTTGATTAGAAAAGGAAATTCTGGTCCCAACTGCTACTAAAACCTAAGAATTGTATAAATTATACAAGGATTAGAAATATTTATGAGTAATTTTGTTCAAAAAGAAAATTAATTTAATACATACCCAGCAAGCAGCTGCTGATGCTTGAAGATTTTTATAAAACCATTCTGATCTTAATGTGATGCCCTAGAAATGGAATAGTTCAAATTGTTACAGGTTTGTTGTTTTAACTATTTAGTCATGTCCGACTCTTGGTGACTTTATAGGCAAGTGCTCTCCCTGATGCCCTGTCAAACACAGCTTCTTTCAGTTGTTGGCTGTTCATTTTTGTATCAGCTTTACATGCAGAGTAAGCCAGGATGTTCTTTGCATGCCCTTTTTTCTGGTTCCACTAACCATTCCTAGCATCACTTACTTCTCTAATGAATTTGCATGTGTGTTAAAGATATCTTAGTATAATTCTACAAACGTCTGCTCATAAGTCAGTCCCAGGTATAAACAAAAGACTGCAGTCTCATGACTTTTTCCTTCAAAGAATCAGCAACGCTTGACTTGATGGTAACCAAAATTAAATTCAATATTACTTTTCCAAAACTTGAAAGCCTGTCAAGATTTTGAATACAGATTTATAGAAAGACAGCTTCTGAATGATCATTAAAGGAATTTACAGAGTTTCTTACTTAATGGTTAAGAAAATTTATCAGTAAAATCAAATCTATTGGTGGATTTTCATTCACTAGATGCGTGGAAGTTGGAAAGTTATCTGACTGATGTTATGACATAGATTTCTGCACTAAATTGGATTTCATGGTCAAGTAGCTTCTTTTGACTTTTGTGTCTGTGGTTCTATTGCATATTAAACTTAGCTTTATGTTAATATGCTGCGGGTAAAAATGATGTATTTATGTAATTGTAGGAGCTTAAAATCAACAATTCTTTTATGTCCTGAGTGCACTGGTTTTGTAAATCATATAAAAATGTGACTATAACTTACTAGTTTTCCAAATCGGACAGTTGCAACTCCCTTTGGAGGGAAATTTCCAGTGCTTGTGAAACATAAACCTCCTGTCTGAAATTGAAAAATATATAAATCTTGTCATGAACATATATATTTTAAAGGTAGATGTCTTATCCTAGAGAAGCCCTTCTAAAAAGAACGTTTCTTTTACATTGAAGATCCAATAACAGAAGCAGCTCAGAAAGGAAGCCTCTTGAATTTTAGTAATTCACCATTTATATGAGTCCTATCCTATCTCCCATTCAAAGCAGCGCGAGGAAAGAATTTTGGAGGACATGTACGTCTCATTATAGTGAACATACTGCTTAGATAACTATTAGTACCTAATTCAGATTTAGCCATGCAAAACCTAACACCATCCCTTCCAGTCCCATCTATGTCCACTAAAACCTATAACAAATTGGGAGTGTCACATGGAGTGGGAGGAGGCTGCAGTAGGGTTGCTGCACTACAAATGGGCTGGCCCTGAAAGATAAATGGTTCCTCCACATCAGTGGTTCCCAAACTTTTTCAGTCCACTGCCCCCTTGGTGCTGCAAACTCATCCTCAATGCCCCCCACCTAGGGGCGGGATTCAAATTTCTGTGGGTGTGGCCTAATTTGAGGGTGTGGTTTGCTGGTAACGTGATTGGGTAGGCGTGGCTTCCTGCTCACGTGACTGGGTGGGCGTGGCTTGCTGGTCACGTGACTGGTGGCGTGGCTTCCTGGTCACAAGTCTGGGTGAGCGTGGTTTGGTGACTGGCAAACCAAATACAAGTTGTTCTCACTTAATGGCCGGTTGCTTAGCAAGTGTTCTAATTTATGACTGGCCTCCCCAGAACTACTTGACCTGTTTTTGGAGTTTTGACAGCCATGCACACACATATACACATGCTCCCTTCCAACTGCTGGAGCAGGTCATTGAACTAGAATCGGCAAAGCATCTCTGATTAGATTCTAATCGGAGATGCTTTGCCGATTCTTATTGATTTGTTTTATTTGTATTTATTTATTTTATGTTGCTGAATTGCATTGACATGTATGTCCCTTCTTGTGCACAACCCAGAAGCTTTTGTGATTCTTTGCAGCAAAAATTACCGACCTCTGGCTTTGCTTTACTTTTCAAACATGCCGGCACTGCTGTGTTCTAGGTGCCAGCCCCGCAGGTCCACCCCATTGAGCCCACTGCACTGGAAGGACCTGCCCAAGCAAGTTCGAGTGGAGCAGTGCACCAAATCAATAGGGTGAGCCTGGGAGAGGGAAAGAGAGAGAGAGAAAAGAGAGAAAGAAGGAAGAAAGAGAAAAGGGAAAGAAAGAAAAAGGGACAAAGAAAGGGGGGGCATGGAGGGATAGAGGGGGGAGGGGGGAGAGGGAGGGAGAGAGAGAGAGAGAGAGAGAGAGAGAGAGAGAGAGCTGATGCATCAGATTGAAATGAGGCCTAGTTTAGAGACCCTTTTCCACATTGAAACATCTTTGCCAGCATCTTTGCCAGCACATTGAAACATCTTTGGCTTCTATTAATTAAAGGTTTCATGGACGAAACATGGCCAAGACTATCAGGAAGTTCTCACATTTTGTTGAGACTTTAAACAGGATCCATTGGACCAGATCTCCACCCTAAAAAATTACTTTTCCCCAATGTATTACAGTGCCAATTCTGAAGAAGGCAAAACCAAAATGTATTGGTAAATTACAAGGAGAACACACACAGACATACACACACACACACTCTCCCTTCTAACCCTGCTGGAGCAGGTGATTGGACTAGAATAGTTATCTCATTATCTTTCTTCTCCCTCCCTCCCTCCTTTATTTCTTTTTCTTTCTGTCCCTTCCTTCCATCCCCCCTCTTTCTTTGTCCCTTTTTCTTTCTTTTCCTTTTCTCTTTCTCTTCTCTCTTTCTCTCTTTCCTCTCTCTTTCCCTCTCTCAGGCTCACCCCATTGACTTCGTGCACCGCTCCATTTGGATTTGCTTGGGCAGGTGCCTCCAGTGCAAGGGGCTCAATGGGGTGGAACACAGCGGCGGTGGGATGTTTGAAAAGGAGAGCAAGGCACTCTGGCTTTGCTCTATTCCCAATGCTGCGTTCGGGGCGATGCCCGCGGCGTGGGATGTTTGAAAAGGGGAGCAAAACCACTCTGGCTTTGCTCTCCTTTCCCAACATTGCGTTCAGGGTGACGCCCGCGGCATGGGATGTTTGAAAAAGGGAGCAAAGCCACTCTGCCTTTGCTCTCCTTTCCCAATGCTGTGTTCGGGGCAGAGCTCCTTTCACCAGAGAATGCAAGTCAATGGGATGACCCTGCGGAGTTTTGCCTTGAACGCGGCGGTAGCGGGATTTTTTCTCACCCCTGAATTGTGCCCTGCCGCTCACCTCCAGCGCCCCCCTGCCATCTCTTAGCGCCCCCCTGCCGCCCCCCTTGCCTCTCAGTGCCCCCCTAAGGCATACCACCGCCCCCCAGGGGGCGGTACCGCCCACTTTGGGAACCACTGCTTCACATGACTCTAGGAGAACCAGTGAAAAATAAATGAATGCAGCTTATGTGAACAAGCCTCCATATTCAATACAATGAACTATATTGCTTATTAAATTTATACCCCTCCTTGGTGCTCAAAGATCATCGAAAGTAGCTGTTTTTATTATCTGCTGTTTGTTACACTTACTAAAATGTTTGGCTCAGAACAGCTACATGATTTGTTAACGCTGATGAAAGTTGGTTGACATCTTTTGCACCTACAAACAAAAGATAAAATGAAATGTGAAGAGTGTACATAGAGTTTAACATTAAATAATCTTAAATAAAGGATGCAATGGTCCTTAAGTTAATAAGCAACACAAATAAATACAATCTCTCCCAGTATCATGGTAGCATGGCAAAGCTATGTACCACATTAGAGTTAAATCAATGTTGAAAAATCAGCCTGCAAATAGAACAAGTTTTGATATTTTCTTCTGACTTTTCTTCCTTTTAGCAAAATAGTAAGAATTGCCTTTGAAGGAGGACACAATTGAATGGAAGGGGAGGGGGGAGAAGAAAGTGCTATTTCTGAATTAGTCCAATACATTTTCAAAAGTGGGAACACTTTGAAATCTTTACATTTGGTAAACATCAGTGTTATTTTCAATTTTGCAAATTTAATGAAAATAAATAAGGCAAATGTTGTTTCCTAATCCAATATACATCTTATATAAATAATATACTTACATGTTATTTAATGTATTTGCAGTTGAAAATGACTGTTCCTTTCCATCACACTGAACACATAATGCTGCTTTCAGTAGTGAACCATTAGTATTTCTTTCCACTTAAAAAAGTACAAGAATATTAGTAATAATATTACTATATATACTATATTAAATGGGCAATGTATGAATACCATGTATATTTTAAAATAGTAAATCCAGAAAATTCAGTTGACAATGCTTAATACACAACTCCCAATTTGGAAATCTTGGTCATGATCTTTCCAGGAATTACCCCAAATGAAAAATTAACTGTGTAAATATGGAAGTGCTTTTCGCTCATGTACAATCACTTATTTCTACTAGTTATTTTATAGGGAAAAAAAATCAACTTACATGTTTTTAAAAGGAAAGTTTATATGTAATTATGTAGCCACAAAAGCTATGTTGTTAAGTCTCTCTCAACACTATTCTATGTTGCAACTTTCATCAAAGAGAAAAATGGTGTCATAACCTAACTTGCTGCAAAAATATAAATTCAGAGGAAGAACATGTTTTCAGAGAAAATATTTTATTTTCAGTTTGGGAAAATAATAGAGTTCAGGAGAAGATTCTGAAAACCATTCAATCAAAGACACTGACCGCTTGAATAACACAGCAGGTTTGCTTTGCTGTAAAACTATCAGTGATTTCTAAATGAGATGTTTCATTTTAGCAAAGAAGTAAGAAAATAGCAATAAAATTTACATTCAGTTATTATTTGGAATAGTGGATCTGAAAAAAAAAATGGAATTGTTTTATTTTTAAAATACAAATTGGTAATATATAATTATATACCCTTTGTTCCTGGAATAAATAAAACGTAATTTTTCATCTGTTCACTGAACTAAAATGTTAAAATATATCTCACATATATCTTTCTATATAGATTTGCCTAGAAAAATAAACAAAAAAGCATAAAATAACTTTATAAAATTCTTACCTAGAATCTCATTATTAGCGCATATACATTTTCCTTCTATAGTTAAGCCACTAGGACAAGTAATGCAGTCCCATCCGTCTTGAGTAACTCCATTCTAAATGAAAGATTAAAATTATTTAAAACTCACTTTAAAGCTTGTAATGTAGAAAAAAACACATTTACCTACTTTTTAAAATAGAAATATTTTAGGTTTGAGTTTACCATGGTTTCTGCACATTTTTCACATGTAATAGATGTTCCACCTTTATCAAAAACTTTTTTGAATCCTGGAAGACATTCACATGATGTACCTGAAAAATACACAATACCTTGTTGTATTATCTGCTTCAAATTACAATATTTGCTTTAGTAAGGATATGATTGAAAGAGATCTCTAAAATTTCTCTACCTATGTTGCCTTCAAATGTTTTCTGGAATGTATTCTGGAAAAATATGAGCATAAATCATAAAGATAGCTTACTAGTATTCCAGGCCAATAAGATATGTCAACTACAGGTAGTCCTTGACTTACGTTTAGTGACCATTCAAAGTTACAACAGCAGTGAAAAAAATGGACATGACCATTTTTCACATCTATGACTGTTGCAGTATCCCCCTGGTCATGTGATCAAAAATTGGATGCTTGACAACTGGTTCATATTTATGATGGTTACAATGTCCCGGGGTCATATGATGCTTTTGTGATCCTTCTGAAAAGCAAAGTCAATCAGAAGTCACGTAACAACCATGTTATCACTTAACAACTGCAATGATTCACTTAACTGTGACAAGAAAGGTCATAAAATGGGGCAAAACTCACTTAACAAATGTCTCGCTTAGCAACTTAATTTTTTGGCTCAATTGTGGTCATAAGTTGAGGACCACCTGTATTTAAAAGACTCTCTAAAAGTTCTCTGTCCAGTGCACCATTTTTATGTTTATTATTATTTCTGTTTTCATTGCTTTTAAATTTTATGTTCATTGCTCAGAGAAGCAATTAAGAGGTGTATGACTATATAAATTAAAGAAGTAAATAGTGATCATTTTTCTAAAGTAATCTTCATTTTTCCTGGTAGCATGTTAATTTGACAGTAGGTATTCTATAACAGGTTCCAATACTAGTCAAACCTGGAAAAAGGGGCAACCATGAGATCCCAAAAATTCAGGGAACTGATTTGAGTCAGATTTTGAAATATTCTTAACAAGGTGCCTTTAACGGGTTTCCACTGTCCTTCACTACTAGTGAATCCACTGTTATTGAGATGAATCAATAGATGGAAAGAGGATTAAGATTCTTCCCCTCTATCAAGATACCACTTTTATTTCCCATAGAAAGAATCTACAGTTTAATAGCAATTGGCTTTCCTTTCTCTTCCAAATATAATGCTCAAGATTAATGGAAGATAGGGCTTAAATATAAGATTGTGTGAATGTGTAAACGTCCACCCACCAATCTGCAATCTCCAGAGCGAATTAAGGTTTGTCTGGCCACCATCCAGAGAGAAAGTGAGTCAAGATGGTTCTAGTAGACAGTGACACTTTCACTTACTTCTCATTGTTCTCTATGTATTACAGCAATTTCAGCCTCTCAATGGCATAATAGTTGGCACTTGTCCAATAACCCCAGCGTTTAGCATTTCTCTGTCTGGACAGAGAATGACAGTACAAAAGATCTAGCTCCAGCAAAATATATGGCACTTGATGACTACTACTATTTACTCACTCACGCCCTCAGCATGAAGCAAGAACTGGAGAACATCAGACTTGCTGTTCCTATTATGCAGGGTTTTGTCCTTTTATTAACAAGCCAATAGTTTACACATTTTAAAGCAATTTCATCATCTTGCTCAATTTCTCCCTGTGGTCATATGTATTCTTTTTCCTGGAGGTGATCTAATGACAAGGAGCAGCTACTCTTTTCCTGATCTGCCCATGAGTTACAAAATGTCCAAAAGGTGCTAGGTGATCAAGCACAGCTATTAATTATCTGGTCTTTGGGGGAAATAAATGGACATGCAATTCTACATGCACTATGTTCAAAGAGGTCCACTGCATTCAGCGCAACTTCTGAATGGACCTTTTCAAAAGCTCCACCTTCCCTCCCTCCGGCTGAACCTTTAGGTAGTAGTCTCACCCTGAACGCTTTGCTTCTGGAACTCCCCACAACGTCTGCAATCTAAGCTGGCGATATCGAAGTACTGAGCCCCAGTGCAGCTCTGTGGGTCGCGCAAGGGGAGGAAGAAGCCGCGGCCCGCGCTCAACGGGAGCATCAACAGCGCCGCAGCAAACCACCGCCGCAGCGTCGCCATGGCTACTCAAGCTTCGACCCCGCTCATCTCATTGAGAACTCCCTGGCTGGAAAGGCGGGTTTGAAACTCGAACTACGGTACGCCAAGAGGGTTAAAAAAAAATCGCAGACGTACACAGGGTCACGTTCTCCGTCTCTATATTCCGTTAAAGTATCGAGAGATCCTGCGGCTCATTCAACGAAAGGTGGATGAGATTCAGTTGTAAATGGAATTCTTGGAATTGAACATTAAATTTCAATCATTTGATGAGTGAATAGCAGCCCATGAAAATCTGCACTTCTTGCCCCGTGTTGTTATTTTTTGTTGAATTTAAACAAAACATTGCATTTAAAAAACACTAATTGAGCATGCAATGCATATATTGATTCCTATGAAATCTCAAATAGAAAGAAACATGGTTAGTATTAGGACATGATTGATATGATTAAATGGATGGTTACAAAAGTTTATTAAATTTAGCTTTCATTTTCACAGCTCTTTTTTGATGTAATAATCTTTGAGCAACATCCAGTAATTTTAAACACTTATGTAAGAGATTATGTATTTACCTATTATGTACTTTGCAGTGTTTTGCAGTAACACATTTTGCAGGCAATGATTTTGAATCTATTTCTTAAGCTGCTACAACTGGCAAAATGAACAAAATCGATTTGTTGAAACAATACATACTTTTAAAAAAATATTTAAAAAATTATAAAAGTGCTTATTGTAATATAAATAAATTTAAATATAAAATTGTTTTCTAACCAGCTAGAAAACATAACTCCACACTTGGACACTGAAACCTCCAGATGAGTTGAATTCCATTACAATCATTCATTTCATAACTGTTCTGTTGGAAGTTAAAACCCACCCCTCTCCTAGGAAAATGAAATATTTTAGGATACACAAAAAAGGCAGAATATTTCTCCTAAAAAGGAAAGTAGAAACTCAGACACAGAAACTCAGACCCCCACCCCCTTTGGCTAATAGACCATTACTCTGTCCTGGGCCAGTCTATTTTACATAACAAAGATCTACTCCAGGTAGAGCTATAATAGGAATTGCCCAAAGCCCTTTCATTGCATCATCATCCAGCAAGGCTCAACCAAGCCTGGGACTCAGGATAGCGTAGAGTTGCCCCTGCATGGCCCCATGGGAGTCTGACAACCAATCAGAATGCAAGCTCAAATTCAAATTCCAACAGAGGGCATAAAACCGCATCAAGATCTCTGCCCTTCTTTTCCTTCACCCAACATCTTGAAGCATGTGATCGTTCTTTTCACTTTGGAGCTCCAAGCCATGTGGTCCTGTCCACCATTAAACCATCTTTCCAAACAGCCTCCATGTTTTCAGTGTCTTTTTCCCCACTTGGAACTGAACCCAGAAGGATATTTCTTCCAACAGTTCAAAGTTACAATGGCATTGAAAATGTGATTTTTCACACTTTCAATTGTTGCATCATTGCCACAGTCACATGGTAGAAAATTGGGCATTTGGCAACTGGTATGTATTTATCATGGTTGCAGCATATAATGGTCCCAATTGTCATTTCTGACCTTCTCGGTCAGCTTATGATAAGCAAAGTCAACGGGGAAAGCTGGGTTCGCTTAATGACTGCATGATTCACTTAACAGTTGCAGTGATTTGCTTAACAACCCTGTCAGAAAAGGTTGGAAAAATGGGGTGTGAATTGCCAAGAATAAGACATTACTGAATGGATAACATCATCACCACTGTCTATCTGTATCACAATACTATTCAAGTCTAAGCTCAAAAACATCAAGGAAATTATTTTTTTCATGCATATGAAATATAGAGAAGAATGCTGCATTAAAACGAGATAAAAATCAGTCACATGAAATCAATCTATTTTAAATCAAAGGTCTTTGGTTTTCACGATGATGGCATTATACACATCGTTATACTTGTATATTTATTTTTATTTATTTATTTTGATTTGTCAATCGCTTACAGGATAATAGGTATAAGTATATACATAGTTATGAATACATGAAATGGGTACAAAAATACAAATAAAAGAAACAATAGGACAGGGATGGTAGGCATGTTGGTGCGCTTATGCATACCCCCTACAGACCTCTTAGGAAAGGGGTGAGGTCAATAGTAGACAGTCTAAGGTTAAAGTTTTTGGGGTTTGGGGAAGAAACCACAGAGTCAGGTAGAGTATTTCAGACATTGACCACTCTGTTGCTGAAGTTGTATTTCCTGCAATCAAGTTTGGTACTGTTAACCTTGAGTTTGTATCTATTGTGTGCTCTTGTGTTGTTATGGTTGAAGCTGAAGTATTCATTGACAGGTAAGTCATTACAATGTATGATTTTATATACCATACTTAGATCAGACCAAAGACGGTGTAATTCAAGGTTTTCTAGGTCTAGAATTTCAAGTCTGGTGGCATAAGGTATTCTACAACGAGTAGAGGAGTGGAGAACTCTTCTTGTGAAATATTTCTGGACTTTCTCAACTGTGCTAATATCAGATATGTAATGTGGGTTCCAGACTGATGAGCTGTATTCGAGTATTGGTCTAGCAAATGTTTTGTATGCTCTAGTTCAGGGGTCCCCAACCACCGGTCCGTGGACCGGTACTGGTCCGCGGAACAACTCCTACCGGGCCGCTGGCTTGCTGGGCGCCGCCATCTTTTTTTGATGAAAAAGTGCTTCCGGTGTGCTTTTCCGGGTAGAAAGCTCACCGGAAGCACTTTTTCATCAAAAAAAGATGGCGGCGCCAGCGCTTCCGGTGAGCTTTT